GTACTTGAGCAATTTACAACTTGGTTATAATATTCTTTATTGTGCCATCTCTAATAGAAATTTTCAGCTAGTTATATGCAGTAATGGATTGTGACCACTTTGGGGGTACTCCATTGTTGACTTAATTTGTGAGAAGTGAATCAAATTGCAATACATATCGAACTTTCATATTATTAGATTACGAGTGAGGAATCCGTAGCTTGCAAAGAATGAATAAAACTCTTGTCAGGATAATTTTGTGTTTATTTTAGACAGTCCTTAAGTGATATACGAAACGTGTGTGTATTACAGAGATATGGTATGCATAACACATACATGAAATATTACACGTAAGTGTCCAATGATTGTGTGCACTAACAGTAATTGAAGATCCGAATTCAATATACCAGCAGCCGTTTGAGTTCAACTGATGCTTTTGAGAGCATGTGCATGATCATACTGTTTGGTATCTCAGCTAGAATGCTGGTTTCAATGCATGTGGGCTTCGAGGTCCTCGGCCATCAACAGGCTCCTCAGTCTTGTTTTGTGTTTTTATTATCTTCAGCTTCGAGAAACATCTCTCACAGTGAACTTGAGTGATATAAAATGTCAGAAGAAAGTCATATACTTTTACATGTAGCAATTATCAAGCAACTTAAAAGCACACATTAAACACCATTTGTACCACTAGAAAGTTTTGCACGACGAGCAATTCAGCTGACACCTAGATTTCACTACATTCCTTGGCCAATCAGTTTTGCATAAACTTTCGTTCATTTGTCTGTTCTACCTACAATGCTTTGCATGTCGTCCCTTAGTGCTCTCAGTTGAATTGTACACTCTTGTATTTTGTCTCCAATTCTGAACTAAATCAAGTCCACTTGTTTGAAAGTATTCTGGTACAGGTGCGATTTGATGGAAATGACATGTATGTGTGAGCGGTCAAAATAATTTCATACCTCATAAAACCCTCAGCATTCCTCTTGCCCCTGTTTTCATGGCAGAATCATGTGACTTTGAATGTTACAATATGACCATACACTTGATCAAATCTGAGAAAACAGCTTTGAAATGGTCTGTAGATGTTCAGGACACAACTGATTATTCACTTGATTTTCCTGACCAACGTGTTTCGCCTATCAGCTTAATTCTCTTCAATTTGTCTACTTCTAATTTTCCTTTTTACAGATATCCTTTGACTTTAAAGAAATTGCGGCTTTCTGCAACAGATTGAATAATGATATTGGTACAACACAATTTTGTTTGGTCTACCACAATTAAACTGAGCACATGTGCATAGGACCACACATGAACGTTTGTATCCACGAGAAAAAGAGAGCTTTGTCTGAAAGTCACTGTACTGCCCATGGCAAGCTGCTATTCCATCTATGCTGTTTGAAACACTTGTTGATATCAATGTTGTAATATCCAAATACGCTTTTTACTGGATCGTACAGTCCTTGTCCACTACCACTGTAGCAGTGGGAGGAACGAGAGCTTGCAGCCTTTCAATTACTTTCCCGCCATACCAGATTACCACAACACACTGGTCAGTTATTGATGTCTTCTGTGGAATCACTTTATACTGAGACCATACCATCATTTCTAACTTCATCTGATATAACGTTCTGGGTCATATTCTTCATTGCAACAAGCATCTTGTTGACTGTTGTTTTACTGATGAAAGTAACTGAAGTGAACTCTTCTAATAGCTCCAGAATTTTTGCGTTCCTTGGTGTTAGCAATTGCTTTGTTCATATGCCCTGAGAGTGGTATGTTCATACTGACTCAGAAGTTTTATCAGTTCCAGTAAAATAATTTGGTTTATTGAATCTTTTTCCAGCTCGTGTGCAGCTTCACTTCCATCCCTCTAAATGGAAGATTAAGCATTCCAATAACCCTGATAACAGTAATAACTATATCAACAATTTTATGTTTATTAGGCAGCATATAACATATGTAGGACAATATGTTTCCGCCTTTCGTGTTTATCTCATGCACTTCATAATATTGCATGTTTGTCTTAGATTCTGCATGTTCCCCTGCAAGTTGATGAACATAGCGCCAGTCACTGCATCCGTACACAAATGAAAACATGGTATTACTACTTGAAAAACATAGGGAAATGATGCAGAAAAGCTTATATTGCTTATTTGAAAGAGAGAATCATTGTCTCTTAATTTTTCCCTTCAACTGTTTTTTGGTAGTAAATATCCAGGTCGAATGGGATATTTTCAAGTCGTTAAACTGGATGTTGGGAAACAATTTCTGTGCATATCGTGACTTGATGGTTTAGGAAATATATTCGCACCATTACAGATTTCACTTTCATAAGAGTCTTCTGCTTCTGTCTCTGTGTCGTATTTCTCGCTGCTCTGTGGAGTTTTTGTGTGTGTGTGTGTTGAAGCTGTAGCTGTAACATCATCTTTGCGTGAATGAAAAGGTCTTGTAAATTCAAGAGTTAGTTGCTTGTGTAACCTATTGATTATTTTGAAATGATCAACGTGGGAAATGATTTTATAGTTCTTTCTATCAAATAAATGAATAGATGTGCTATTGTCCTTGTATCTTGTAAAAATCAAATTTGTATGAATAATTTACACCACTTTCTTAACAATAATCTGGCTTATTGTACTTTGCTGAATGTCACCAGCAAAATTTGCCTATGTTAGGCCAAATTCAACGTCGTCACGTACATACAATATGTCATGACAGTGTCATTATCAACCATACCTGTACTGACCAGCTAGGCTGGTTATCAATTCCTGATGCCATTTGGCATAGGATCTGATGTGTTTTAGAACTACTGATCAAATATGCGAGCGCCACAGAAATTTTCTTTTATAAATACCTAAGCGAGATTTATCATGATATAAATTAATTGTTGAAAATTTAAATTATTATAGTAATACATTGGCATATAATACTGGTGTTGAAAAAAGTAAAAATTAATCTATACAGACACGAGACTGTTTTGCGTGAAATGTTTTTGAAATTTAGAATATTATGACTAATCAAACACAGCCCCTATAATATGCGTCGGCTTGTTATATGTGGACCTGTTTAGCATTTTTCTGGCCAACTTTCGTGCAAAATGATTATAGATATGCAAAGTAGAGATAATCTAATAATCTTCCAGCTGAAATACAAAACTAGAGATATGCTATTCACTCCTATTATTGTTGGCGAGATTCGCCAAATATCGGCAAATTTTTGATGGTGAAATTTGCCAGCAAAAGTACCAAGCACAAGCCCGTTAATCCTAATATGATAATTGTGCATTGAGTTTATAACATTGCATTATTATGTCATTTCACGTAAAACTGGTTATTGTAGCAACTGTAGCTGACAATTTAATACTTTCTTGGGAAAAAGCGTTCCTTTAGCAAATAGGCCTATAATAATCATCAGTAGCAGTAAAAATAAACTACCGTTATTACTTCATTATTACAAGATAATAATTGGATCAGTTTGACATTTATACAAGCAAAACTAAACCTTAATACAGTGTGTTATTCAATGATCCACTTCCAGAGGATCATTCATTATTATTTAACTTGGTGCTTTGAGCGGAAAATGCTGATTTGATATTTTTAGGGACTTTTGCAGACTCCTGGCTCTGTATCATTTTAGAAGATTTGGGCTTCTGGCATCCACTGGCTTCTCTCCTCTTTTCCAAAACTTTTTTTTAATGTATGGAATCTATAGATTGTTGTCAGTTTTAAACAACAACACCAGGACTTGCTCATACTATGCAGTGAATTCATCTTTTTCTCCGATTTGTATACAAAATATAAAGATATGAGGTAATTGTCAGAAGAGAAGTATGGTGCTGTAACTTGTATGTAAGTATGCCTATGCGGCAGGTAGTCATGCTCAGTCATGCATGGACAGGTTTACACAAGTATCTGGGCCTATATGTTGAATAGACTGGGAATCCCCGTCTGTTGCATAAGCAAAATTCTAAAGATATAATAGTAATTTACAGAATGGGAAGCATTTAGCCACTTAAATACTTCCCCCAAGAGGCTCTGAATGTGTGTTATATTTACTAGTGACAAGGTCTACAAGAAGGGGTAATAAATACTGGCTGTATATTATAGGTCTAAATGTATTCAGTTTTATTATAATATTCTACTTTAACTTGGTCATTCAGATAGATAAAGAATATTGGTTTTTCCTATGAATACGTCTTTAAGTGATAATAAGTGGTAAACTATAAAATTTGAGAGGGCACCGCTGCTCGAGTTCTAAGGAGTGGGACACACACAAAAAAAGGAAAGGAGATCAGTATATTTTAAACAGGCCACTGAGAGGTTTTCAGGCTCAAATCAAAACCAGAAGGAACCTCCAAGCCACCTTTTTTCATATATTTTTATTCTCTGTGTGTTTAATTGTTTAACTCTGTTATTTCTGTTGAATTGAAAAGAAAACTAAGTTTCAAAGCTGAAAAACAACAACAACAAAAAAAAAGGATAAGTATTTTGAAACATACAGTGATTCTCTAATATCACAGGAAGTTTGTTTTATTTACAGGAAGACTCAAGCAGACAGTACAAATAGAAAAGGGAAAAACTTTAAAAATTGAAGCTAAACTTTCTAATCCAACATTATACATATAAGTAACGTATGTATAATATTAAGACAACAGACCTGTTGATCCATCTACGACATCCCATCCATTAAACGAAATTAAAACCGGCCCTTATCATTCAATTATATATCAAGTCTTCCCTTAACTCCTTTAAAATACCTGCATCCACCACATTTGAAAGCAACTCTTTCCATATGCTGATCATCCTGTTAGAAAAATAAAGCTGTCTTAATTGAAGGTGACTCGTACCCTGCCAAAATTTGTATTTTTGTCTCCTTGTCCTACCATTCCCACCATCAAGTATGATAAAAAGATTTTGTAATGATTCACATACTTTGTTTATTTTAGTTGCTTTAACCATGACTCAAGCAAACACACACACAAATCTAAAGCTGCAAATCAATGTGTGGAATCGTTCATATTTCAGGTAAACCGGTGTTTCTTCCACCACTACGAACAATGCGAATTTACAAAGGAGCTCCCCCTGGTGTATATGTGACAACTTTTCATTCTTACGACTCGGATTCACCTCGAAAGCAAGTTATGTTTAATATGATAGAAGTACGAGACTACTCATTTTTTCACCTGGAGCAAATGACAGGCATCCTCACAACAGCAAAAGATATTGATGGAACTGTTGGACATGTGTATCAAGTAAGAATTCGTTAATTAACAGATGTGACTTTCATAATATAAGCCAGAAATGCAATCTTTAGTCATGCTTAATTTCACAACAAAAAAGAAGTATCTGAAAAAAATACTTTTCATCTTTAAATGTTATAAAACTGTTCTTAACAGTAATTATTATTTTTGTATGAAACATCTGATTAATGAAAATAAAATCAGAGATTTTATTAATGTTACACATCTATATATATTTTATGTATCGCTGATAGTAGCTATCCCCACCCCTGTGCCTAAAGGATGCCGCCTCAGTAAGGGGTCGCCAGGCAGTTTTGAGGAGGGAAGGAAGCGTTAGAGACGATGACGTTATAGTTTCACGAAGTGTCACCAGAGGGGGCGTTGCTAGGCCGCCTTGACAGGCAGACATAACGATATAGTTTCACGGAGTGGATCCAGAGGACGTGGATATATATAGTTATATACTAGAAAGGCGGATTGACTTACTGAGGTTTATAAGCATATATTTAATCATTCTTTTACATGTCCGGACATTTATGTGTAAATCGTCCTGAAACACGATGCTTAACACTAGTTCATTAATTCTAATTTAGAACTAAATTTCCTGACAATTTATATGTAAATATAGTCCAGAAAAAGGTGTTTATTTATATATCATACAATAATTTAATAAACTATTATAGAATAACAACACTTACCATTTTTTCATAAAACTTTGACAACTATAAGAATAATATATACAATATTGTTCACATACACACATAAATACGGTCCTTCAGTACTTTTTTGGTTGTTGTAAGTTTACGTTCGACAGTTCTTCTTGATGATTTTTTTATGTTGAGATTACGTGTAGACAGTCCTAATGGATCAAAATATTCTTCTTTCTCATCTCGACCAATGTAAATACAGACCTAGTTGCTACCTAATTTATGAATTGTTTTCCTGAATGATGAGATAGTTGATCATAGACAATACACTTCCAAACTTATTTCGCCTACCCAAATTTGTGAAAGAGTCGAATAAATTTCTAAAGTGTTCATAGCTTCTTTCAGACAATGTTCCATAGGACTTCTCCTGTTTTGCTTTCACAAGTGAACGAGACACCTTATACAATATGCACATTATACATCATTTGAATGAGGCTTATTCATTTTGCTACAACTAAATATAATAAACTAATGAGTTTTTGTATTAAAATTTCAGAAAACATTGAAACTGTCCAAACATTATTATGATACATACACACACGCACATCACTGATGGCAAGCTTTCTAATCTTTGTCTGTTAGAAATACAAAACTCGTCACGTTGGAAGGGTAGACAGAGAAAATGAAGATATATAAAGGATAGAAAGGTTGTTGACATCAATGACAAAATAAAATTCAATTAAAGTACATTGTCCCTGTTTATGTATTTACATTATACTTAATATTGAAAATATGTTGTTCATACTCTACATAATCATATATTTTCTACATAAATTTAATGTTCACTATACTTTAACTAGAGTTTTTATATGTCACTGAATTTAATAGTCAGTAAGTAATCAACATGTAAATTGTATGAGATTTATGATTTCATTATACGATGCAACGAATTATATAATATATATATGCATGCACTAGAATAGTGACAGAGTTAGCTATTTCTGATTGGTGATTACTAGCTTGGTTTCAAGTTCAGACATATACAATTTTTTAATAACTGTCTACAACAAACAGTCTAAAGTTGAGTCATATCTGGTCCATTTTTCAAATATAAGTACCATGTTCCTTTCACCACTAATAATCAGACTGATGTAGTTCTACTATATGGAAGAAAGAATGATGAACCAACCTTTAAATGTAAGTATATATAGTAACAGATATTTCTTGGGTTATAAATCTAGCTTTTGTGCTTCTATGACATAGTAATGTTTGTTTTCAGTCATATTCATTATATTAATAAATAATGTTGCTGTGATTTACTAATTATCTACTATTTTATATGTTAATCTACTGTAAAGAAAGGAAATGCTGCTGACATTAATGAACTGGTGAAAAAGATCAAATCCAGCGGTGAAGAAGAACCAGTAAAACAGAAAAAACGACAGTTACGTTCTTCTATTATTATACAATGTGAAGAAGCACCTGAATCAACTCATGCCTATCATATTGTTACGTCACTCTATCAACGTATAAGAAGAATTTGAATATTTATATTCGACAGTTCAAGGAGTTTGGAAAAGGAAAACTATATCCAACCAAGGAAAGTATGTTTATCTTTAACATAATGGGAGGAATTTAAACAGTGGATCTCAAACAAGAGTGTAGCTGTACAGAACAAAACTGAACAAGATTTTGATTATCATGGCATTGATATGATATCTGATAAGATTTTCTATGTTTTATCAAATTTAGAATGGTGGAATTTATGTGCACAGGTTTCTCATTTTGATACTTACTTAAACACTATAGTTCATAATGGAAAGTAATTGAATAAATAAATTAAATCAAATCTTAATAATATACTAGCTGGAGTACCCGTCCTCCGGATGGGAGTCACGTAAATTCATGATTAATGAAAGGTTATCATAGGAGATGAAAAGTTGCTTCCCTTATATGTAATTGTAAAACACGTAAAAACGCCCATAAAAAATGCAAAACACACAATGTGAAACTGAAAATGGACAGACAACAGACGGTACTATTACATATATTGATACGCTGAACAGGTGTACCCTATTTTACAAGTACTGAAGAAAGAACAGTGTGAAATCAATGATCTTAGTCAAACTCCTCATTCTTGTAACATGTTATGTTAAATCGTGATGAATGTGTGTGGCTATATTTGAGATCAGCTTTGATAAAAGTGAATAAATTTATTATTTAATCTATATTTAATCAAAGAGTAAATGGTTGATTTTATCCGGTGCTATCAATGAAACTTTCTGGGATACTGTAGAGAAAGACGACTTTATCCAGGAGTTATCAAATATAATGTGATGTATCCTTCCTTTGAAGATCTTAAGAACAAACGAAAAACTCTGTGAAATAGCTGTGATTACAATAAAAAGTTCATGGCAAATTATTTCAATTGTTGTTTCTTACGGTAAAAGATATTGTCTTTCCTATTTCATAAATCCAACATATTTACACTGACTTACAGCCCAATGTAATAATACCTGCGGTGTATACTTGTTTAAGCGCGTTATTGGTCAAATACAACAAATCTCCATAAACGAAACATAAGGGGTATTTTCCAAAGTATTCAAATTTTCTTTATTTTAGAAACTATACAAAACCTATCGTGCCTTTGAAATGCGTAACTAAGTTGACTGTCCCCCATCGTGCTGAACATTAGATCTTGACTTTCACATACCATTTCCCTACAGCTTAAAACTGACGTGTTATCTTCAATATATGTAAGTAAAGAGTTTACTGTCCATTATTTCAGAATAAACTTTGCAAAAAAAAACAACAAACAAACTGTATGTCCATTATACATTGACAATGAAGAACAGATTTTGTAGGTCAATGAACTTAACATAACAATACAGAAAGCTAAATGTACATTCACGAAATTCTCAATATTTGATGGTATGATAGGAAATTATTTTCTGCTTCTAAGTTACCACTTTCCGTTTTTGATCTAGAACTTGCATATTTGTCATTTAAGTATAATTTTACAAATATACACACACAGATCTATACACAATCCAACTTCTTGGAAATATAATCGTATAAATACGTAAAAAAAAATATCGGTATCATCCATCTTATAATTTTGTCAGTGTTCTTCAATTTTATTTGAGGGACAAATTCCTCTGACAAGCTGACAATATAATAACCTTTGATGTTTACATATATCACAAACTGATATATGTATGGATTAGTAAGACCTTTAAATTTCATATATTTAAACCAAATCTTTTTTTTAGAAGAAGAATAGCCTTCACTGTTTATTTTGTATAATATCAATGGCCCCATGAAGTAGTAATTGGAGAATATTTAAGTATTCAATCGTACGACTGCGTAAATAAAACGCACCTCCATAAACAAAACAAATACGACAGTCACCAAAATAATTTGTATAGAGATGATGATCACAACACTTGAAAATATTAACCGCAAAGTATATAAACTTGTAATGCATGTCTGTAGGTACATTTGCTTATTAGTTTAACACACTTGTATATATAATATATAAACTTGTAATGCATATCTGTAGGTACATTTGCCTATTAGTTTAACACACTTGTATATACAATGGAGAACAATGGAATTTTCTAAGAAGTTTCACCAAAGGGTAAAACTCTGTGACCAATGCTTTGACCTTTGCTCAATAGTCACATGTTGGTCAATTTTCGCTATCTGAGAAGCAATCCATTTTCTATCATGTAATGAAAACAAAAACTAGTATCTTTCATGTGGTATATATCAACACAGAATACTGATTGTAGCTCTAGTACAATATAAAGGACAGAGAATGTGTTAAATACTTTGTTACATCACTCTATCATCGGAAAAATAAGTATCGCGAATATTAAAGTGGACGTTTTTCAATATTGCGATATCCTTCTAAGTTCTGTGACCTAACGATAAAAGGTATGGTCTATAAGAAAAGACACATCTATCGTTTACATGAAATCGGTATATAAATTCACATAAAAACCATTCATCAGTGTGATTAGCTTTATCTCTAGTCTTGTACTTTATGTAACTATACAGGAAGTTAAATGTACATTTGTGAAATATTTGATGGTACAGTAGGAAGTAGTGTCTGTTGGAAATGTATTAAAGTATCGGTCTAAACACTATCAGTTATTAACGTTACATTATTTATTAATGTATTTAACTTTAGATGCAACATTTACTGCCAACCCACAATCTCGAGTACTGGTCTCGTTCAGACGTAACCCAAGAAAGTTGTCGTATGTTTAGTATAGACTGAATACAAGTGTTTTGTAGGTCTGTATAAGGGGGAATCTATGATAATCTTGGTGTTTTTATGCACTTATTATTTGGCATGCG